AATTAAAAAAAAATCAATTTTATACAATATTTGAAAAATGGCACCGAAAAAGACTGTTGTGGGTTTGGTCAAGCATTATTGGTTGCCCCCATCACTAATAAATGCCAAATAAAAATGGCCTTTAAAGCAAGGATGGATTGGTAATTGGTCCATACCCTTTTTCAATAAGGGCCACATGTTTTTATTTCCCTTTTAAAACATATAAAAAAACATGTTTTTTTTTTTTTTTGGACCAAATATGTTTTTTTAAAAAAAAAAAAAACAGTACTTTATAGTCACATTTGACATAAAACTCATTTTTGTATCAATTAATTTTAAAAACTTTTAATATATTAGGTGTCGATGACTATATTAGACAGTTTTTAAGTTTATAAATTTATTAAATATAAAATTTAAAAAATCCCGAGATACTAGATAAGCAATTCAACCGAAAGTATGGTCAATACTTTAATATTCGTGAGAATTTGAGCCACACAAAAGCTCTTTCGTAAAGTATTTTATTTCGACACGTACAAAAATATTTGCTTTGGATGAGTGGATGATTTATATTGTCCATTCATATATATTATTTGTTTTATTCTTATTATTATTATTATTATTGAAAAAAGAAAACAATTTTTTCCAAAGAAAGGAAAATAAAAAAGAGAAAAAAAGTATCTTCTCATTCAATACATTGACACTAATAAGATTAAATAGAGAAAAATAATTTAAAATAATGGAGTGTAGAGCGTAGATGCCTCTCAAATTTATAATGTAATAAATATATTGATTTAAATCTAATTTAATTGCTAAGAAAATTATAATTTTTTAAAATATAATTTAACAGTGAATTCGATGAATTTATATGAATTTATATTCTACGCGTGACGTAATATTTTATATATAAAAAAAATGTCTAGTCATATAATCTTTTAAAATTGTAATAAATGTAATAAACAAGAATATTATTCAATAAGAATTTAAAAAAAAAATTCAAAATGATAAAATAAAATTTGAAATATTCCAATTAAATAAATTCCAAACGTAATTTTATTTTTAAAATTTATATTTTTTTAGGTGACTAAAATGTTCGCCAATATTATTACTTTAATCCTTTAAAATAAATTTAATTTTTTTAAAAAAATCTTAATACATAAAAGAATTTTAAAAATTTTAGATTAATTCAAAACTATTTTTGACTTTATGAATTATCTAAAAACTAATTCTAAAGTGATTAAACAAGAAAAATAAATTTTATATTTAAAATGTGTTTTTAAAATAAAATATATATAGTACGAAAAAAATAATATATTATTTGTACTAAAACAATTGTCAAAGTACTTAGATAAGATAGCATAAGAACTCATACAGAATTAATTGAAATTTGTCGCGTGATTTAAATTTTACATTTAAGTAAAGTTTAAAATTTAACGTATTAAAGTAAAAATTATTCTTACAATAAAATATATCGATTTGAAAGCACGATAATCTCGATAAATACTGATTACAAATTTATTGACTAAATGTATGATTCGGTGTTTAATTTAATCAATTAGGTTTTAAAAGTAATTGATTTTTTAAAATTATATTTGTTTTTAATATTTTAAATTTAAGAGTGGAGGTGTAACTTGTTCGTTGGCCCGTGACGCCTTCTCCAATCGACGATGTATTTTACAATCCAACTTCTTAGAGCTAACGTTCTCGTTGCTGTTGCTACACTGCCTGATGTTTGGCTCTATTGTTCGTTTTTGTCTATTATATATCATTGTCACCGTGGACGTCTACCTAGATTTTCATAAATAATATTTTATTTTAAATAAAGAATTGGATGAGACCAATTAAATTCCTAACCTCTAACTAAAATTAAATTAAATTAAATAAATTGTTTTTATTTTTTTAATTAAAAAGGGAATGTTTTTATATTAATTAATCCACCAAATTTTGCTAATGGAGGAGACCTTTTAGAAGGTACTGGCTACCGAATTTGACCGGCAAAAGCAAGTAGTAGGTGCAAAAAATAAATAAAATGACCGATCAGTCCAGTAAAAACAAATCTACGTGTCGGTTTATTTTATACTGTCACTTTCAAAAATTCTTATTCAAATAGAATAAATAATAATAATAATAAATTCAGGTTGAGGCTGGAACATTAAACTATGTTGGTGGTTATATGATCAAAATATTAGTACATATTTTTGTAAATAAAAAAAAGTAGTAAATCTTTTAAAATTAATAATTAATTTTTTTAGTCCAAGATATAATTATAGATTTTTGTGTAAATATTCAAAGTCAAATTGAAATTAAATAAGTTTTTTACTCATTTACGCATGTTTATGTTTATATAGGATATATTAATTAATATTATAGTGATATATCGACGAATATTTTAATTACTGACTACGTGGAATTATCAAATTTTGAATTTAATATATATTTTTAGATTGGTTAACTTGGTCACCCAAGCAACACGAATAGGGTTCTAACCTAACTTGATGTCCACCATTTGTAAGGATATGGAAACCTTCTCCTAGTAGATGCATTTTAAAGCCTTGAGGGGTTGGATCTCGGTATTTACATAAAATTACAATTATAACGTGACAAAATTAATATATAGTTCATTTGATATTTCAGTTTAAAATATTTTCTCACGTCCCACGAGTACCACGAAGTAATTATGATAGTTGTGATCAAAGAAAATTATATCGAAGATTCGACGAAATAATTGAAATAATAATATTATTATTTTGAGTTGACTAAAAATTAATGTTTAAAACACGTGACATAGCACTACAATAAGGACTAGAACATAACATACACGATATAATTTCTCATATAAAATTCAATGTATAATGGAAAGCTTGAGTGGATGGCTAGGCCAAGGTAGGTAACTTTGGTGGTTGGAATTGTTTATATAAATTATTTTTCTTTTTTAAATATAAATAATTTCCAAAAACTATATTATATTTTTAATGCGTTATATATCTAACGCTTCATTCAAAAGACTTTTATTTGGAAATGGTCCATTCCATTTTAGTTCTATAAATTAGGTAAGTTCAAATAGATGGAAAAATATGAAATGATTAAAGATTCTTTACCATAATAGTCGGGTATATATATATATATATATATAGAACCCGAGTTAAATCACAGCAACATTGTAATTTTGCAGTAGATCAATCATGTTCGATCTACTCCATTTTTGAAGCGCCTCTTCAAAATTTGAATAAACAAGTTCAAGAACAAACTCAACTACCATTTGAACTCTGGCAACTGTATAATAAAATTAATTATAAAAAAAATTTAAAATTAAAAGGTGGGAGAGAGCAATCATAACTTTACTAGAAAGTTGTAAAAGATATTAAATAAAAGATAGCTTAAATAGATAAGAAAGCTATCAAAATAAAAAATTAATTTATTGTACAATAATAGAAAATTAGTGGAAGATAGATAATAATAATAATATTATTATATATGTGAGAGAGTAACGGCCAATTTCAGTTTTTTAAAAATATAATATTACAATAATATTATTATAATATAATCTATTTGCAAGTATTGGTTTGGGTTTTTAATTTTTTTAATTCTCTGCCATGTCGGACGGTCATGTGCAAATTTTTAATTTAAAATATTATATTACATTATATTATTTACATAATTAATTGTTTTAAACCATCAAAATTCCACTAATAATTTCTTTTCCAATCTATATATTATTAAATTAATATGCCATCTCAAACCCATTTTATTTATTTCCGCTCTAATTTAAATGATTTAAAATAGGTCGAATTAGATTTGTCATCATTAAAATATTAATTAATTAAAAAAATTCTAATGAGTTTTTTACCTTTCTTTTAACACTTAATAATAAAATTTTAAATTTTATTAAAAAAAACTAATATAAAACTGGTCATTCCGAGTTCAAATCATAAACAATATTTTAAAATCTTTGAGGGGATCAAGGTCATATGAAGAATATAAAAAAAAGACGTAAAAAATATTAAATGAAAGAAAAAATAAAATCACGTGACTTTTGATTTAAAAAAGGCGAGATGAAGAGTAGCTAGACAAGACATGTTATCTCACATTGTGATTTGTAATCGAGTTTATTAGGTTATCTCATATTCTGATATGATGCATATTAGACAAGCGGTTTGCTCGAGAATAAAATCGATCATTAATGAGATAAAAAAAAAAATAGACGAATATGTGATTGTCTCACGAGAAGGTTTAATAGTTTATGTTAAATTGTTAGGAGTCGAAATATATACCATTTCGAGAAGAGATTAACAAGCAAATGTTTTGAATTGAGATAATTTTTAGTTATTTAGTCAAAATTTTATTTTTTAATAAAAAGAAAACGATAATTCATAAAGCATTTAATTAAGATTTATTATCCGATTTAAATATATATTTAAAAAATTACCTTTGTAAATTTGATTTTTAAGAGCTTGTGGAAAAATAAATAATAAAATAAATAAATAACAATAAATATAAAAATAAAAACATGTATGTATATATATAATTAAAAATGTATACATTTTTTAAAATTTAACAACAACCCGAATAGTTATATACTACTAAGCCTAAATCTTACTTTCAAATTTTCTTTCGAAAATTTTATTGTCCCGTTTTCTAAAACTTTCTTTTTAAATTAGGGTCAGAGGCTCGAGCATATGTTGTTTGGTCGTAAGCGACACGCAAACGAATTGACTTAACTCACTTGTTGCTGAGAAGTGAGGGTTGCATAATCACAAGTTTGTTGCCAAGAAACGAGCGATTGTAGCAAGTGGAGTATTTCATGTCACCAAATTTAAAAGTTGAAAACAAAAAACGAACAAAAAGGAAATGACAAATTTAACCCTACCCACTCCGAGGATAAAAAGATTGACTAAATTATCTAGAAAGTTTGATTGATTGGAAGCCTCCAAGCCACCCCATTCCATTTATCATCTCCACCTTTGAAATGTCTTACGTAAATGGGTCAAAATCATTCAATTTCATTCAAATCAAAGCCCAAACCTCCCAATATCTAAGAACCTTCCCCAAATTTCATATAAATCACATCACCATTCTTCACAAAAACACCCAACACATCTTGAAAGCACCACCCACCCAACACAACCCAACCCAATTCAATCCGACCTCTCCATTCTCCCATTTTTCCCTCTCTACTTATGCAGATTCACTTCCTCCACCGCCCCGACACCGCCGAGAAAGACGCCGATGAGGACAAGAAGGAAGATCAGAATCACAGAAGCGACGACGATAACGATAGCGATAGCGATTTACCATCGTCGTTGAGCCTTAGAGAGCTTTCGAAGGTTATACTTCCACCTTTGGGAGTATCGAGCTTTACTGATGACAATCAAGTGAAGCATCATAAATGGATCATCTCTCCCATGAGCTCAAAATACAGGTACTCACACACTCTCGTGGTTAATTTTTATTTTGTTTTAGTTAAAATTTTCCAAAAATAATGGCGGCATATTTTCAAACAAACAAAACCCATTTTTATTTTCTTTTACATCCATATTATTGGATAATATCTATCAACATGATCATAGCTCAATCACGACGAAATAGATCTATTAATTTTTTTTTTCGATATTTCCTCCAAAGGAAAAATATATTAGAAAAATGAATAATAGTAATAATAATAATAAAATTATAATTATTAGTTATGATGTTTTTAAATTTCAACTATTTTTGCATTTTGATTTTTTTTGGAAGTTTTATTGCAAATTATGTATTAATATTTATATTATATTATATTTTATTAATAAAATAAATATACTATTTAACTATTGCCGACAAAACAGTAGGTTTTCGGGGTATCAAAAAGATTCTTTACCATTAAGAGAAGTTTTTTTTTCCACAATGTTTGATAATTAGCTGTCTCTATTATAATAATAATAATAATAAATAAATAAATAAATAAATAATTGTTTCATTCAATGCAAATTTATGGGGCGGAGAATTCTACAAATATAAATAAGTCAATATTTTTTAAAATTATTTTCATTAATTTTAGATCACCAAATCTTCATATGGATCTTATCTATTCAATAAAAATAAAATTGAGAGAAAATAATAATAATAATAATAATAATAATTAATAATAGAAGAGAGAGGAAAATAAATACACAAATTCTTATAATAATAATAATAAAAGTGAGTAATGGGTGAAAAAAGATTTTTACTTTTAAAAAAGGAAAAGGTATAATTCTCTTTTTCTTTTTCTTTTTATTTATTTATTTATTTATTTATCTTAAAATTTTAACTATAATAAAAATATACCAACTTGGTTCTTGTCTATCTATTTTAGGAAAATATAAATTTTAATCAATTTAAATATTTTTGTTCTTATGAATATCATATTTAATGAATAAAATAAATAATTTAAAGAAATTAATTTTTATAAGAAAGAAATAAATAAAAGATATAATTATAGATGCCTTGATACTAAATTATATTCCCGTTGAAAAAAAAAACATTTTTATTTTGACTTACGAGCAAAAATAAATAAATAAATAAATAAAAAATTACACAATGCACACGTGTAAATTGTTTAAAAATAATTTTTAAGTTATCTCGGATTAAAATTTTGGAGAATTTTACCGCGGGTGAATTTGCAGGTGGTGGCAGTCGTTCATGGTGGTTTTGGTTGCTTATTCTGTGTGGGTTTACCCAATGGAAGTGGCGTTTGTGGACGCAATTCCCAAGCGCCGATTGTTAATTGTAGACAATGTTGTCGATCTCTTCTTCGCCATTGACATCTTCTTCACCTTCTTCGTTGCTTACATTGATCATCGGACTCAGCTTCTCGTTCGCGATTCTAAGAAGATAGCTATTAGGTTTGAATCCTACATTCCTTATACTCCCATTTCCCTTTTCTTTGTTCATTCTAGGTTTTGAAATGTGGTTTTTAGTACGAATTTTTGTGGTAGGTATGGAGGAAATCCGTCTTCTGAGGGGTAGATTATGGTTAATTTTCTCTGAAATTGGATGTTCTTTCATTGGGTATTTGGCTGTTATTAGGTATATTTATCAGTTTGTTGCTGTGGTTAATTTTGAGTTCTTGTACGCAAAGCAAAATGTGTTTGGAGAGTAGTTTTTTCAATGTTCTTTAAGTTGAAGAACATGTGATCAATGCGAGTGTGCTGGAAATAGTATTCTGAAATTGTAACTACATTGTTGTGGCTGTGTTAGCTTGTTGATTTTACTTTGTTTTCGATTGGAAAACCTTGTTTGAAGGATTTTCCGACCTTGCTATGCTTTTTATGATAAGGTTTTACTCTTGGAAGTTCATCCAGTGATAGTTTTAAGCTGTGGTTTCACTCGTGAAATGTGAATGTGCTATTGTGAGATCCCACATTGGTGTTGGGTTGGGGTGGATTGTGAGATCCCACATCGGTTTGAGAGGAGAACGAAACATTTCTTACAAGGGTGTGGAAACCTCTCCATAGTAGACGTGTTTTAAAACTGTGAGGCTGACGGCGATAGGTAATGAGCCAAAGTGGACAATATCTACTTGTGGTGGCCTCGGGCTGTTACAAATGGTATCAGAGCCAGACACGAGGTGGTGTGCCAGCAAGGACGTTGGCCCCGAATAGGGTGGATTGAGGGGTCCCACATCGATTGAAAAAGGGAACGAGTGCCAGCGAGGATGCTGGGCCCCGAAGGAGAGTGGATTCTGAGATCTCACATCGATTGAGGAAGATAGCGAAACATTCTTTATAAGGGTGTGGAAACCTCTCCCTAATAGACACGTTTTAAAAACCTTGAGGGGAAGCCCGAAAGGGAAAACCCAAAGAGGACAATATCTTCTAGCGGTTGTCAAATACTTGTTATGGGATTTTAGCCTAAATCTCTACAACTTACATAAATGGTGTTCCATAGGTACCTTTCGACATGGTTCTTGATGGATTTGGCATCAACAATCCCATTTGAATCACTGGCCTATCTGTCCACAGGCAAATATGATATTTGTCTCCCTTTTGCCCTCCTAGGATTGCTCAGATTCTGGCGACTGCGACGTGTCAAGCAACTTTTTACAAGGTTTGTTCTTCATCATCTTATCTTATTGATCACTTATTCCAAACGCTCGAACCTTATTAACGTTCTATTCCGATGTTCAGGCTCGAGAAGGACATTAGATTCAGCTACTTTTGGATTCGATGTGCTAGGCTTCTATTTGTAAGTAAAATAAAGAATCTGTTCAAACTGATTGAATCTTCTTGAAAGGTTGGTTAAAAGTTGGTGTTTTGTTTGTAGGTTACTTTGCTCTATGTCCATTGTGCCGCATGCCTCTACTACATGTTGGCTGACCGGTATCCACATGAAGGAAAGACATGGATTGGAACAGCGTTTCCAAATTTCAAAGAGACTAGCTTTGGAGTGAGATATGTTTCATCCATGTATTGGTCTATCACCACTATGACCACTGTTGGTTATGGTGATCTTCATGCTGTGAACACCATGGAGATGATCTTTATAATTTTCTACATGCTCTTCAATCTCGGGTTAACCGCTTACTTGATCGGTAACATGACAAACCTAGTCGTTGAAGGAACTCGACGCACAATGGAATTCGTAAGTCATTCACATCAGTTCCTTTTTATATTTCTTTCTATATACGATTCCTGTTGTTTTAACTCGACCATTACTGTTACGGCCCAAGCCCACTGCTAGCCGATATTGTCCTCTTTGGGCTTTCCTTTCGGGTTTACCCTCAAGGTTTTTAAAACGCGTCTGCTAGGGAGAGGTTTCCACACCCTTATAAAGGGTGTTTCGTTCTCCTCCCCAACCGATGTGGGATCTCATAATCTACCCCCCTTTAGGGCCCAGCGTCCTCGCTAACACTTGTTCCTTTCTCCAATCAATGTGAGACCCCCACCAAATCCACCCCCATTCGGGGGCCCAACATCCTTGCTGGTACACCGCCTCGTGTTTACTCCTTTTGGAGAACAAGCTCCTCTCTATCACATCCTCCAGTGTCAGACTCTGTTACCATTTATAATGGCCCAAGCCCACTACTAGCAGATATTGTCCTCTTTAGGCTTTCCCTTTCGGGCTTACCCTCAAGGTTTTTAAAATGCGGCTGCTAGGGAGAGGTTTCCACACCCTTTTCCCACACCCTTATAAAGGGGGTTTTGTTCTCCTCCCTAACCGATGTGTGATCTCACAATTACGTGAATTGGTATGCTTTTGCAGAGAAACAGCATCGAACTGGCATCGAATTTTGTTAACCGAAACCGCCTGCCTTCGAAGTTGAAGGAACACATATTAGCATACATGTGTTTAAGATTCAAAGCCGAGAGCCTAAACCAACAACAACTGATCGAACAGCTTCCGAAGTCGATTTGCCATAGCATCTGTCAGCAATTGTTTATGCCGACCGTGGAGAAACTCTACCTCTTCAAGGGTGTCTCAAAGGAAACACTTGTGATGCTGGTGAGCTTAGCAGTTCTTTAGCTTGGGTTTGGACTACTCACCTATGAACTTTAGCTAACTATGCCATAAAATGTGACAGGTAGCCGAGATGAAAGCCGAGTATATACCGCCTAAAGAGGACGTGATAGTACATAACGAAAGCCCGGAAGAAGTTTATATCATCGTGTCAGGGGAAATCGAAATTATCGACTGTGAGACGGAGGTGGAACGGATTGTCGGAACATTACACAGTGGCAGTATGTTTGGGGAAGTAGGAGCACTTTGTTGCAAAAACCAAAGCTTTACATACAGAACCAAAACTCTTTCACAGCTCTTGAAGCTCAAAACAAGTGTGCTACAAGAAGCTATGCATATCAAACAAGAAGACAGTATAGTCATCGTCAAGAACTTCCTTCAGGTTCGTATACGAATTTTCGAGTACAAGTCCCCTGAAAACGGAACAATTTCCAAACCAAATCTTTGAGAGAAAAATCTGTTGAAACTCTTGTAGGAAAGGGAGCTGAGCCACAAAATCACCATAGAAGGTTCGCCCGAAAAAGAGACGACACCGACTTTGATCGAAGAAAAGGATCAAAGTTTCAACTGGAAACACTCCATTGAGTTAGATTTTAGTAGAGTTAACATATACAAAGGCCATCCAGTAGCCAGAAAACAGGCTTCTTGTGATGATCCTGGAAAGCTCATCAGATTGCCACATTCAATGGAGGAGCTCAAAAGAGTTGCAGGTAACATTCTAATGGAAACTTCATTATTTTCAGCGAGTTCGAGATCGATTGATATGTTCTTGACTCCGGTTTTTGGAATCTTAACAGGTGAAAAGTTTGGATTTGATGCAAGAAATGCTGTTTTGACAAATGAAGAAGGATCTGAAATTGATTCCATTGATGTGATAAGGGATAATGATAAGCTTTTTTTCTCATAGCTGCAGATTATAAAACTCTGAAATCTGAGGCTATGAACATACATAGGTATTAGATGATCAAGGGAGGTTTTTCCCATAAAAATTAAGAAAAAGGGGAAAATTTGCTAAGCAAAGCTCTGCCTTGATCAATCATTTTGTATTGTTTCTTCATTTTTTTCTTAATGAAATTAGTTGAAAGGAAAAAGTTTATATTACCCATCTGCTTCAATTCTCTGTGTGGATTAATGTCATAAGAAGAACATATTTGCATGTAGATGAGTGAGAGGGTCTCCAAGGTTTAGTTTTTTTTGCTCGACTATTGTGGAGCAAGAGATCGAACCATCAACTTAGAGATGGTACTTGATGTTTCATCCATTAAGTTATGTTCATTCATCCATCAGGTTCAAGGTTTTTTTTCCGAGCTTAGTTATTTGGATTATAAATTTGATGGATCATTTCAAGAATTGATGAACCGAATCATAAAATGTTTGAGTCGGGTTGGTTGAATATAGTCCAACGATTAAGTTGGAGTTTTATTCTTTCCTTGTACACCCTAAACTTGTATGATGAATTGATCTTAGAGTCAACTATAAACTGAAATCAATCAAATGAATAGGTTGAATTTCATGTGTCGAGTAGCATCCAAATGATACGTTCAATTGTCTAGATATGTTAATAAGACAATAACTTAACGATACATCAATTGTTTATTAACAAATGTAGCTTTAAGAAAGATTACTGACCAATAGCCTCTTATATATATATATACTCATCTAGATAAATAAATAAATCAATTTAAACCAAAAAAGAAAATAAATAAACCAATTTAAACATAGTTCAACGGTATATATATTGTGCTAGCATAGACATAGCAATGATTCTTCCTTTATAAACAAAACAAAGAATCTCAAATTCAAACCCTAAAAACAGAATGTTGGGCCTATTTATCAAAATTAATATTAAATTTTAACTTCCAACAGAATCTATTTTCCACCTCATTCTTTTAATTTCTCCAATTTTTAAAAATTATTTTCTCTAAAAATATATAGAAAAATGAAAAAAGCATTGAGTCAAAGTAGTCAAACTTTTACAGCTCAAGAAACATAATCCAACATATATATATATATATATATATATATATATATATATATATATATATATATATATATATATATATATATATATATATATATATTT